GATGAATGATAAAATTTACAGCAACATGGGAGGAACACAGATGAACTGAGAGAGAAAGAGGTCAGATGGGTTAAAGCAAGAATAATCACAAAGTCTAGCTATTCTCCCTTTCCTAAAGTTCACACATGCAAAATGTTCCAAAGCTGATCTGGTTGGCCTGTGTACAACTGGGAGTTGAACTCCCAATCTCTATCTCTTCCTTTCTCCCGTTCTATGGATATTATCAGACTACCCTCTGCTAACTTACCTTAAAGCTGCAGTAGATAACCTGTATAAAAATAACATTTTGTCATATTTGCTGAAACTGAGCCGGGACGAGTGTCTGACGGAGTGTCAGTCACTGCTTGTTCACACACTACGAGCAGCCTCCCTCCCCTTTGCACAGTCTCTGCCTGCACATGCTCTCAATCAGTCAAGTCAACTATTTATTGCTAAACTGACGAAGTACAGCCAGGTGAAAATTACTGTAAAGCATATTATGTCTAGCTAAGTGGTGTTTAGTTCGTGTTCTTATTGCTGTGTGCTCCATGCTGTTTACCTGGTCTCTTTGTTTGCCATGGTTGCCAGCCTGCACATGCCGGCAGCCTCCTCTGCAGGGAGGGGCTTTGGAGCCAGGGCTGGAACACAGTGGAAAGGGAGCGGTAGGGACCTGGAAGTTGTGCTCCTTCAAATTTTCAAGCTAAGCCATTCTCTTCTCAGTCCTACCTAATGTGGCTTTTATAGTATATGGAGCCATTGTTATGAGAACTTTTTCTGGGTTACTGTCTGCTACAAGCTGTAACGTGAACATCCCTTTTATTGCTCAAAGATTGTGAATTGAAATGAAATTAGTAAAAAAAAAAAAACACAATTTGGATGCTTGCTGGCTTTCCATTAGTACGCTACTTTTTCCTATTCAGCTCATTTTTCTGTTATAAAATGGAATGGAGATAGTGATTAGTAATGTTGATTCGACATGAGTAAGACCACTTTGGCTAGCTGAGGTAAAGTAAAATCCTGGACAACTAAGATGTTTAGATTGTCATTTAAGGTATTAATAATGGGATAACGCCTAAGATATGACACACGGCATAGTTAATTTCTTTTTAAAAAGAACAATAGACATGTATGTAAAAGCCAAGAGAATAATAAGTAATTGTTTTTTTTACTAGTTCTGTTTCTGTACTATGATGTGGCCTAAAACCAGACTGAATTTTTTCATGAATATGATTCCTATGCAAATAGGAACTTAGTTGTTTTGCCTCAACTTTTTTCAAGATCTTTGATATAAAGTTAATATATATATAATTTGATTGTTCACAGGGATAAAGATTAGCTTTCTTAATCAGAGGTCTAATTACTGCTAGTTTAAAAGTTTTTGGAATATAGCCAAAGCTAAGAGGGGAGTTTATTATTGACAGAATAAGCTTAGTTATTTCTGTCAAAATTTCTTTGACTGAACTTAGTCAGGCACCATTTTGACTCTAGTTGTCTGACAGACTGTTTGCCTTATTGTTTTACTTTTTAATGGAGCCACAATATATAGAGTAGAACAAAAAATATCCTCTAAGCCCTTGGTCATAATATCTAATTTGGTAGGATTAGACAGACAGCTGATAAAAGCTGAAAATTGTAGGAGGTTTCTGATAAAGCTACCAGCTGTGGAGGAAGTTATAGTCCGCTTAACACAATAGCATGGCAATGAACGTATATTATGACTAAAGGAAATTTCATATGAGATTAGGTAGGATCTGAGACTGCTGTGCTCTGTGGGAGGATGGCTACATGATCTATGTTTACACCAAGGGTCAAAATTAAGTCTAGAGTGTGTCTGCAATAATGAGTGGGCCCCTTGTGACAGCAGTGTTACGAGCTTTGTTTGTGCTTGTTTCCTGCTTGACGGAGAAGATTATGCAGTTAGGGGTGTGCATCCGGAAGGGCTAGTCAGCAGGGCTCGGACTCGCTGTTAGAAGCTCCAGGTATCTCAGGGAGAGCTAGCACGCCCTCAAATCAGGCAGCAGAGCCCTCACAGCGGGGCAAATGGGTGGCATCTCGGCGGCATAGTCGCAAAGCTAAAGCTAATGCTAAAGTTAACCCACACGAGCACCACTTATCTTGCATTCACGTGTCCAACAGGTTTGCCCCACTCAGTGAGACACCCTCTGAGATGCCTGTTGAAAGAGCTCTGGTTATTGATGATTCTGTTTTATGACACATGAAAACAGCTTCTCCTTTAGGGACACCGGGAGCGGTTAGCTGTATACCGGGAGCCAGGGCCTCGGACATTAGAGGGAACCTGAATCTGCTAGCTAGTCATAGATATTCGAGGATAGTCAGAAATAACTAAAGATAACATTAAAGAGGTGTGTAAACTAGCCCAGACAATGTTCGATGCCGTAATATACTGTGGCCCCATCCCAGTTTGATGTGGCACCAAAAACTACAGCAGGTTATGGTTGCTGAACTGCTGGTTGTCAAAGTGGTGCTCAGAAAACAATGTGGGATTTGTAGATAATTGGAGTACTTTTGAGGGCAAGTCTTGTCTTTTGAGTGGGGATGGTATGGACCTCTCGCAGGAGGGTGCTGCTCTCATTTCCCATAGCATAGCTTGTAATCTCTCAGATAGGCATCAGTGTAGGACAGTCAGTCGCTGACAAACCAGGGCCAAGGCCAAGCAGCAGACAAACAGGCTAAACCAACCATCTGCTAGCTGCCTTGAGACGCCACATAGGTTCCACCAAATTGAGACTGTGTCTGTTCCCCAAATAAAACGAAAATCCTCGAAAAGTTTGTTCTACTAATTTGATTAATATCAGACAAGTTAAACCATTTTGCAGTGACAGCACCTTTGGTGTAAAACTAGGACTGCTTAACATACGATCTCTTACATCTAAGGCCTTTGTTGTAAATGAAATTATAACTGATCATGATTTTGATGCTCTGTGCCTCAAAGAAATGTGAATTAGACCTGATGAATACTTTGGTCCACATGAAGCCACCCCCACAGGCTACAGTTATGCAGATAGCCCTCCTTTAAGCGGCCAGGGTGGAGGTAAAGCAACCATTTATACAAAAGCTTTAGGCATGAAAAGTAGACATAAAATTTAACTCTTTTGAAATTCCTTTTCTTAATATAAGTGATCGAGGAACAAATAAGAATTAATTTTCATTAATTACAATAGATAGGCCGCCAGGGCTGTTTTCTCAGTGCTTACAGGAATTTTCTGACTTTCTCTTAAATTTAATAACGTTTTTGAATAAAGTAATAATTCTCGGAGATTTTAATATCCACTTTGATAAACCACAGGATCCACTACGTAGGGCATTTATGTCCATCTTAGATTCTGTAGGTTTCGCTCAGAAACTAGTGACAGACAGAGAAGCTTAGTTAAACATGCTGCACTCAGAGCAAAGCAACAGCTCGCAGTCTGCCATACTGATACTTACGTTGTTTCGTCGGCTGAGTTAAGTCCTTCCCAGGTGTCTCGTGAAGCCGATGAGAGAAGAAGTGACTTCCAAAAGTCGGTGATTGTAATTAATTGCGAGTAATATGCAACAGCAAATTGAAAATGTAAAAAGCCACAAAAGACTAGCAAGATAGAGCAGAGAAAGCAGTAAACACTCCTGCCAGCAACTTAGAAAAACAGGAACTACGTCTATTAATGTTTTGTTGGTCATATCAACTCTGTTTGGCAATGTAAAATGAGTTTTTCAAGACACTGGCTTTGTGCCATAAATGAACCATAATTGTCATATTATCTGCTAGTACTTTTTTTGGTAGTTTTTTTTTATTACACACATTGTGACTAGTTAAGAAATAGATATATGATAGAATGATTAAAGTTGAAAATAAATGAAAGGACAGTCAGTTTCTTATATTGCAATCTACTTCCACAAAACAGCAGTTCAGGGTTTTCAGGAATTTCCTCCATTCATTCACTCCCTTTAATCCAGGCAGAGCATCTGGCCTACCTGCTTGCACCCTGTTACTGTTTATGCCAAGGATTGTTCCTGCACCTGGGGGGAGGATCTCTGTTTATTTGACATTACATCAATGTTCCAGATGGTTAAATGAGAGTAATATGGCAGCCTATATGACCAAACATTAATGGTCGTGGAGATGAGAAAAACCTGATAATAATAAAATAATAATAATAAAAGCAGCAACAACAGAAATAAAATGACCACAACAATTTTAGGCTAAAATACGCACACCTTATTATAATTATTATTGTTGTTGTTGTTGTTATTGCTGTTCTTGTTCTTGTTAGTATTGTTATTTGTATATCGTGATATCATATTACTGGTGTCCGAATAAGGGAAAACATTGTGTTTATAAAGTTGGCTTCATTTCGTCCATCCGTAGCGTCAAGCTTACCTCATTCCTTAGCAGCATGTGGAAAAAACACTACTGCGCATGTGTAGAACTCACACGGCCCTGCAGTGTTCCTCAGAATAAACAACAAAAAAACAAAAAACTCCGATTTCGACTAGAGGTAATCTACTGGTTTGTTACATGTAAGCACAAGCATTACAATAAAGATAAATAATAGCGTAGCCCGTTTCGTCTTGTCTGCTTAAAGTGACGAACCAGGAAAAAAGTGGTTGCGCTCTGCCTATTCAGTACGCGCTGCTTTGGCTTAGCCGGTCGCTATGTTACGCTCAGTAGTCATGGGAAATTTGATTCAGTTTTATCAAACCGACTCTTTCAACCTGTCCGTTTCAATGAATCGAACGTCCGTTTCAAAGAATCATTGATTCAAAAATTTAAGTCAGCATTATTTACTGAAAGAGGGAGCAGACTAATGCTGGAAACTGCAAGTAAATTCAAAGAGATTATGGTTACAATGTAAGATCGTATGCTGTTATAATGTGAAAAATGGAATTCGAATTTACAAGACATAGTCATCCTATGATGGGCCAAAGTTGCGTAAGTGCTACAGAAAGTGTGATTCAGTTTAACTTGTGAATCGGTTCGTCCAATGTGTTGAAAACAACCGGTTCAAAAGAACGACTCATTCACCATTCGGACATCGCTAACGCACACAGCCACGGGCCGAGGGACACGCAACACAACAAAAAAGGACCTCTTTTGAGGATTGTGAGTAAAATGTCTACTCTTAAAACATTTATCACGATGTAGATGGTGTGTAAATTGGACTAATGTTACTGTGAATATCGTGCGACCTAGCAAACACAGAATATATACATTAGCGTTATATGTTCTTAAGGTGAGAATCCTGACCCATTTAAGGATTGAGCTGAAGCTTTTGCCGTTCGGTAATGTAAACTGAACAAACGTTCGTAGTCTTGCTGATTGTCGTAAGACTAAAGCGTTTGATAAACAGTTTAGCTTGAATTCTTCACAGTATGAGAGTCCTGATTAGTGCATCCGTTGAACTGTCAGCTGACCAGTCTGTTTCTAGCTAAAGGCCCCCTGAGTAAGTTTAACGTTACTAATTACATGACAGCCACCTACTGAGCTGTTGTCGCTAATAGGAGTGTAATGGTATTTATTTGCTCTATAATATACTGGTGTAATAAGTAAAACCTAAATATTAATGTCCTGTCCAACATGCTCTTGCAGTCTTTGATATCGTTATCGTTGCTAGCCAGCTTAATAGCCAAGTATCTAACTAACTAGCCTGATTTGCACAATGAGTTAGACCTTTAATGTGATGATGTACTTACAGTCAAGTTAGCTTAGTGTAATTTTAACTAGGACCAGTGATGAGTTGAGTAGTCTTAACCATATTTAAGTACTGTTACAGTAGAAGTAAAAGTAAGATTATTGTAAGACTTGAGTGTATAGTAAATGCTTTAAATTCTTACTCAGGTTCTATAAAAATACAACCAGAGTTGGAATTTTAAAAAATCAGGTTAGTCAAGTCAATAAAAGCTTCAAATAATGAGTTTCCTACGGAACTGTAGTTAATACATCCAGCATCAGCACAAGAACCAAAGTTTGTTATAGGTGCTTTTCTTCTATTTTTAGCATCCTTTTACCCTTACATAAAATGCTAAAGCTTCAAAGTAAGTGGAACAGCAAAGCAGTTCAGGTGCAACAAAATAGTATCAAATTAAACATCCAAAATAGGAGCTAGTTACTATCCACTTGTGACTAGTACTGCATAAAGCACACTGCATTTGGAAAATTTGACTGTTAGAACTATATCAGAAGAAGAAGCCTGGAGACTTTTCACAAAGTTTTGGAAGGTTTTTGGAAAGGTAATCGAAATTGTCATATTATTATTCATGCAGCATGTTGATGCTGTCCAGAGGTATACTGTATACACACACAGACCCTTCATCTGTGATGGACTGGTGGCCAGCCGATACATAAACTGTTCATTTAAATATCAGAGACTAAACAAAACTAGACAAGCCTATGGATATAGGATAGGATGTATTTTGATGTGTCAGTCTCTTTTTTTAGAATAATCACTTTGTGAAGTTACATAAACACAGCCTGCATACTCAGACTCTAAGAAGATTTTTACTCTCACAAGCTGATGTTAACTTGGTGCAGTTTTTACAAAGTGATAATTTGCACAAAGTCTATAGCAAATCATTTAAACCCTAAATTTCATTCAGGCCAACAACACGTTCCAAAAAAGTTGGGATGGGGCAACAAAAGGCTGGTGAAGTTGTGTAACGCTAAAAAAACACCTGGTAGTTAATTGGCAACAGGTCAGCACCGTGTTTCAGTATAAAAAGAGCATCCCAGAAAGGCTGAGTCTTTCAGAAGTAAAGATGGGGAGGAGTTGATCACTCTGTGAAAGACTGTGTGGGCAAATAGTGCAACAATACAAGACTAATGTTTCTCGACGTAAAATAGTGAAGAACTTGGGGATTTGATCATCTACAGTACATATTAACAGTATCGTTAAAAGATTCAGAGAATCTGGAGAAATCTGTTTATGCAAGGGACAAGGCCAAAAATCAGTGTTTGCTGGCAATGATCTTTGGGCCCTCAGGCAGCACTGCATTAAAAACAGACATGATTCTCTAGTGGAAATCGCTGCATGGGATCAGGTACACTTCTGAAAACCACTGTCTGTGAACACACCTCGTCGCTGCATCCACAAATGCAACTCTAAAATGCAAAGAAGAAACCATATATAAACAGGATCCAGAAACGCCGCCGCCTTCTCTCGACCCAAGCTCATTTAAAATGGACTGAGGTTAAGTGGGAAAGTGTCCTGTGGTCCGACAGATCAAAATTTGAAATTCTTTTTGGAAATCATGGACACTGTGTCCTCCGGGCTAAAGACCACTTAGCTTGTTATCAGTGCACAGTTCAAAAGCCAGCATTCATGATGGTATAGGAGTGCATTAGTGCGCAAGGCATAGGTGATGTGCACATCTGTGAAGGTACTATTGATGCTGAATGATAGATACATGTTTTGGCAACGTATGCTGCCATCCAGTCTTTTTCAGGGAAAGCCTTGCTTATTTCAGCAAGACAATGCCACATTCTGCATGTATTACAACAGCATGGCTTCGGATTAAAAGAGTTCGGGTGCTAAACTGGCCTGCCTGCAGTCCAGACCTGTCACCCACTGAGAACATTTGGCGCATTATGAAAAGAAAAATATGACAAAGGAGACCCTGAACTGTTGAGCAGCTGAAATCCTATATCATACAAGAACAGGAAACATTTCACTTTCAAAACTACAGCAATTGGTCCTACTCAGTTCCCAAACGCTTACAGAGTGTTGTTAAAAGAAGAGGTGATGAAGCACAGTGGTAAACATGCCCCCATCCCAACTTTTTTGGAATGTGTTGTTGGCAACAAATTAAAAAAGGGCCTATATTTTTCAGCAAACAATAAACTTTCTCAGTTTTAACATTAGATATGTTGTCTTTGTAGTATTTTCCTTTAAAATATGGCTCACATGATTTGCATATCATTGCATTTTGTTGTTATTTACATTCTGCACAGCGTCCCAACTTTTTTGGAAATGGGGTTGTAAGATCTATGTTTCAAGACCCATGATTCCCTATGACCCCAAGATTAGTTTTAGCAGTCCTCTGTTAATTTTTAGCCACTGACTCAGTAAGAGACATCGACTCTCATAGGCTGGCCACCTTGTAGTCCAACAAAAATCCTGAACCCAATTTAGAGCTGAGGTCTAGATTTTAATACCGTTTATGTAGTCACAATGACCACTGAGATCTGAGAGTGACGATGTTTTTTGTAGCAGTCACGTAGCATTCAGCTACTTTGATAAGCTCAATTCAAAAGTATGCTTTTGAGCACAAAATCACACCAGTGTATCTTTTTATTAAAAATGAACCAATACACATACTGTCTCACTGTCTCAGTGTAAAAATGTGAAAAGGTGTTGTTAAAGAATAAGAGGTAGGGCATCAATACTGCTTTTTTGAAAAAAAACTACAGTGTAAAAATTTGGACTGAGGAAAAGATGCCTCATTTTAACGCTTTATTTACTTTTTATTTATTTGTAAATTGATTTTTTTTTTTACTTTATTTCCTTTTAATCACAACTTTTATTTACTAAGTGTAATTAGGAGTCGTTTTGTGGAAGTTGCTTAAGCTAGGTTGCTCCCCTTCAAAAGTAGCTAAGCTACAGAAAGCAAGCACAGGGATTAAAACTGCTTTTAAAAACAGTTAAGCTCTTTGAATCAACTTTATGATAAACTTAACATGTGTCAAATACCAAATAACATAATGGGTGCAGGGGCCCTTTACTCTAAAGAATAGTCTAATCATGTTAACAATATAGCCTAAATCACTTTTTGCAAGTCATATTCACACTTTGTTGAAGTGTGGGTTCACACATCAGCAGGATATGATCTCAAAATGATTTCATGTGTTTGTTTATATGAGTAATAGTTACAAGTTGCAAATCCTGTTGGTCAAAGTTTAGTGTTCCACCAGTGTCTGCATCGGAACCTTGAAGAATTTGCCTGAGACAGGTTTTACAAGGCAGAGAAGGAGCGGAGCGAATTATTATGTTCAGCACCACATCACACTTCCCTGAACAGATCTGCACTCATTGCGCTTCATTTTGGAGTAGAAGGAGTCCACCAGGTTTAGTTTTTCCTACTCAGTCCATGTAAACATTAGCAACATTAGCAAGTGCCCTGAATACCATAACCAGCACAGAGACACAGTATCATATTTCTACATTACTGTTACTAATCACCAAGCTACAGTGGAGAGGACAGTGAATATTTGTCTTGGAGCTGAACATTTTTAATCACAAATGTGAGTAAGTATGTCCTACTGTATAGCCCGTATTCACTCTACAGCTCAGTTTTACTCTCTTTTTTTTAAATGTTACCTCGTTAAAAGTGACACATGACGAGCGGAGCTTTTCAGCTGAAGTTGAACATTTTTAACTTGATCGAGTGGAAAATCAGGCTGTTTAGTTGAATTATTGTTGCATTATTTCATTTACATGAGTAGTATGTTTTTGGATGAATCTATGCATAAAGTCTTCTAGAAAATGAACTATTTGAATTGATATGCAGGGAACATGGACCTCTGTCATTGTTTGCTATAGGAGGCTTAGAGGTAACACTACATTAAAACTAACCCTATGGTGTGGAGGCTGTAGTTAACTCTTGCTAGCACTTGTTGTGAGTTGTTTACATGGTTCAAAACGGTGCTCTATTACAGCCACCATGAATGTGAATAAAATATCACACACTTAAAAAACCTGATTCTTAAAGGGTTCTTTAGTAAAGAGAATGGTTCTATATAAAACCATGAACACTAAAAGAACCCTTTGCATAGTTCCTTACATCATGAAAGGATTCTTCAAATTCATGGAGAATGTGTTGTATATGGTTGTGTATAGAAACTTTCTGAAAAGGGTTTTATATAGCACCAAAAGGGTTCTTCTACTGTTACAGGCTTCACACATGAGGTTGCTATGGGAATACTGGAAGGTGACCAAAAGCACATTCCATTTAAACGTGTTTAAATGCATAAAATATCCATGTTACATTTTACTCCATGTGCCCTGATCTCCCCTACTGTTTGAAGTGTTTGTTTGGGCAGAAAGGTCTGTAATTCTAGACATGCAACAATAACAGATCTTTGATTCTCAGTTACTTGTCACATGCAGTTGTATGCAAAAGTTGTAGACTCTGGTCAAATTACATGTTTTTTTGATTTTCTTAGTGAAAAAGTTAACATATCCTCGGTAGGGAACAAACGTTTCTGCAGTTTTTTAGGTTATTTACCAAGTTTAAGATATTGGAAAAAATATTAAAATACAAAATATTATCATTGTTATTCATCATATTTTTTGGACATGTCAAATTCAGCAAATAAATTGTGGTAGTTGCCTGAGAGCATTTTTAAGGCTTTTGCAGCAAGCTCTGTTATGGTAAAGCTGCTAGTTTCTGTTACAGTTACAAAAGTGAATAACCCAGTTGAGAATTGCCAGAGAACCCCCAAGAATGCAGGCAAAGGCATGAGCATGGTAAAAGTTAGCCTACTCTTGTTTAAAAAAAAATCTGAAAAATACACAAAGGATAAATATGCATAGTCCACCAATTTTTATGGAAACATGAAACGTGAGTGTACTTTTAGTCAGTAGCCACAGACTTCTAAAGGATCCCTTATCTGAAGTCATGTTAATACTTTTTCTCATCATCTAGACATTTACATTAATGATTTTGATGCTCAAAGTTGCAATGTTTAGATAATCTCCTGCTGCAAAATGGATTGTTCTGAGAACAGCAGCTATCTTGAGTAAAATGATCTGTAGATCTACCTACTTATATTTACATTATTTTTAATTCCATATGAAAAATTCTGGATGGATAGGTCACAGATATTTGCAAACGGTAAATGTTACATACAAAAAGGCTGCACTTTCACATTTTAAAAACTCTTTGTGTTGCAGTTGTGACATGTCTCAGGTTTTCATGTCACAACTGCAACACAAAGAGTATTAGTCCATAGACAGAGCCCTGCTTTAGCCACACCCCTGCACTTTAAAGAAGGAAGTGGGACTGCATCACTGCCTCTCATGGCCACATGGTGAGCAGTTAGGTCCCATTGTTTTGATAAATTACATAATTAGAAAAAAAAAAAAATATTAGTATTTTATGTGTGTACAACTGTTCAAAGCTGTTTTGTACTGGCTAAAGTTTTTGATTAATGCTCAAAATGAGCTCTTTCATTCTTTGTGTTTTTAGCATAGAGTATAAGATTACTGTACTAATATCTGGTCTGCATTACTTGTACTGTGTGGTATTGACATATCATATTCTCTCTCTTTAGCTGGGGGATGGCGGTGAATGTGTACTCCACATCCATGACCATAGAGAACCTGAGCAGACATGACATGCTTGCTTGGGTCAATGATTCTCTACAGCTCACCTACACCAAGATAGAGCAGCTTTGCTCAGGTAGGTTCACTGCATTTACACAACAGAGCATGAGGAAAAAAAATCTCCTGAACTTCTGAACGTTCAATTTTAATGAGCCACATGTGAAGCTAGACTTAGATTTAGCTGGTTCTTCTTATTGAACTGCCACTGTCTTCTAGTCTTCATTTTTAGGAATGTTTTTTATTGGATAATCAGAGTTATTTTCATCATTCGTAATGCCTTAGCAGCCTCCTGTATACCAAGTCATTTTTCAAGCTAACATACTTGCCATTACATTGTCACTTTGCTTTTGTCCAGTGCAGAGGTCTTCAGATCCACATCTTGAATCCAGTTCCAGAATCCAGTTTCTGATATTCTTGTATTTTGTAATCACTGGTACTTAACTGACCTGATGTGACTAATTGGTCACCTAGTGTCATACCAATCTGTTATAGCAAAATCCAGGACCAGAAACTAAATTCAAGGAGGGTATATTGCACATTGTTATTTATTTTGTCAGTTTGTTAGCATGGAAAAATGTGATGCCTGTAGGGGTGGAATAAAGTATCATGACGTGATATCGCAATGCAAAACTGGGACAAGATGCACTGTGGACAGTGGACATGCAATTAATAATGTCAATACCAAAATATGAAAACGATCAGCACCAATCAGCACCTCACCCCAGCCCTCCCCTTGCCTCTCAGCTCTAGGGTCATTAGTAAGTTGTCCAACAACATGACTATACTCATCATTTTTCTTCTTTTGAATTTTGTTCAAAATATTGTGAAAATACTGAATTATGAACCCAATATCATGAATTTAATTGATTTATAGGTTTTATAGATTTATAGAGTGTATCAATTACAACCCTAGATGTTTAGTTGGATTACATATTTAGAACATAAATGCTTTAATTCTGATATTAGTAAGTCTGTCTGACTTGCTAACATCAGACTATCAATATGATCAGACTACCAGAATGACACCCCAAATCATCAGTAATATCACAGTTAAGTTTTTTGACACAAAACAAAGTGCAGTGGTTATATTAAAATGTCTGCAAGCAGTGTCAAAACATGACTATTAGTGCTGTGCCTTCAATTTGGGATGTCAATGTTTGGTCAAAAACAAGGATAAAGCCCAGCTCTACAATAATGCTTACTTCTGCTAGTGACCCTTTGAGATTCTAATAGTTTTTAGTGCTAAGCTAATGGCGATTCACATGAATGTGTTTTCTAGATTAACCACAGACATTTGAAGCTTCTAAAAAACATTCTCTGATTTACTTGAAGCATACAATAGATGTTAGCATGTATTTTACCATGTAGCAATTTCACACTGACTGTTTTGGTAGAGAGGCCTGGTACAGAGCTGCTGACACTGTTTACCACTTTTCTGACTGATTAGGCTGCCACTCGTATTAACAGTGAGTGATGTTTCTAGGACTTCCAGAAGGCCTAGAGTGATGTGTTTTTCTCACAAAATTGGTCCTGTCTATTGGAAATCAAAATGTGATTGGTTGATTACTCTGTCACTTCCTAATTATGCTGGTGGTTAATCTAACATCTAAAACTACTTCAAACGTGTAAAGTTGAAATTAAGTACACCCAATCAGGTGCTAATGCTTAGAACAGTCTTATACATGTTGTGGGTATTAAAATATCATGGAAGAATGCATTCAAACCTCAGATATCTGGTCTCGTTTGCTCTTTGTTATTGGAATGTGGGGTATTGTCATGCCTCGATCAAAAGACCTCTCTTAGGCCTTCTGAAAGAAAATTGTAGATGCCAGTGAGTCTCGGAAGGGGTTTTATTGGAAATCAATAATTCCATTGTCCAGAAGATCATCTATAGATGGAGAGGATTTAAAACCACTGCAAACTTTTCCAGATGGCTGCCCCAGCAAATTTAACCTCAGAGGAGACTGTAAGATGCTAAAAGAAGTCTCTGAAAATCCCAAAATTTGATCATGTGTCGCACTTGACACTGCTAATATAAAAGTGCATGCGTCTATCGTTAGAAAAAGACTACACAGATTTGACCTACATGGGAGGTGTGCTTGGAGGAAGCCTTTGCTGTCTAAAAAAAACATCAGGGAAGACTAATATTTGCTAATATCATTGTTTGAGGCTGCTTTGCTGCCCCAGAGCCTTCAAAAATTGCACATTTGAAAGAATTCTGCATGAAAGAGTGGGTGAAAATTTCTCCCAGTAGATGCCGGAAATTGGGAGACAGAAAACACCTACATAGAGTTGTTTCTGCCAAAAGGGGCTGTACCAGTTACTGAAGACAGGGGTGTACTACTGTTTTAACAGACAAATGACATCTCAGTTCTTTTTTTGTTGTTTAATAAATGATTGCAATGTCAAATTTCCATTGTTTTTGTTTTATTATATTATGTTTATCCATACATACTGTTTAACTGAAGATCAAATACTGATATGTCCACATATGTCAAAAAAGAACAAGATTTCATGGAGTGTACTTACATCTTCACGACAAGTCAAAGATGGAAAACAGATAGGGCATTAGATATTATTTTAAGCCCCCAAGTTTAAATCTTAATTGTTTTCTGTCACAGCATACAATGAATATTTTACAAAGCTCATCTATTACAAAGCTCGTACAAATAGAGCTTACTCCTCCTGAGCAGCAAAACATTAAAATACAGCAACTTAGGATGCCGTAAGCTTATTCAGAGCAATTACAAAGCATGAATCATCAAGTACCAACGACACAGCACCCAATCCACTCCCCACTCCACACACTCGCACATTTAGACAGAATGAAAGCTGCCAAGCAAACAAATGAATTATCAGCTCTTTAAAAGCATGGACAATGCGATGAGGGGCCTCATTTGTGATTTGATCCTGTCCATACCTGGGTGCAGTATGTGAGAGAGGCCATCAGCCTCCAGACCAAAGCATGCAACAAATGTGCATACAAAAATCTAAAATACTTGAGAGGTTTAAAGTCCAATATAGTATAAAATATGAAACATACTTGTATGATACCACACTTCAGTGTTATATTAAACATCTAGCAACGTTTGAATAAAAAAAAAAACATAATAAAACTTCAAAAACCACTTTAATTAGAGCATCAGACCCATCTGATGTTGGTATGGCCTAACGTTCTAATAAGGAGGCTTGATTCCAGCCTGGTACGCCACAATGTCGAACTACACACAGTGACGCAATCAGAATGAGGAGAATTAGAATTGATTCAGTTTGACACATGAACCAGCTAATGCTGATATTGAGAATCGGACAGATGTTCCATCACCAGATAACCCATGTCGTAGTGGTGGTGATGCTGGAATAATCACAGTAGGCTACCCTTGCCAGTTAGTGTGGCTGTGAACAGGAAAGATATTTCAGTGACGTGCATGTGCAGAAATGTGTTATGTTTTTTATTACTCCTTTTTTACGTGTTTGTTATGTATCTATTTAATTTTGTCATTTACCTCTGTTCTTCCATGCACTGCTTCACCCAACTATAAACTACTTTAACTCCAGTTAGACTGTTTTTGTTCATAACTATTTATTTACAATCTTTTCAGGTGAAAATACATATTGAAGCCTGTCTATTAAATCAGTTGATAATTTCAGTTTATTTTTGATCAGGTTAGTTTTTTAGTAAATTAATATTAATGTTTTTAATTCTTAAGTAAATCAAGTTACTTAATTTAAACAGTAGGCTAATCATTAATCTTATTCTGACAGCAGTGGCATTCTGCTGTTCTGTGCAATTGATATCCCACGCCAGAAAAAGAGAGATAATAATAATAATAATAATAATAATAATAATAATAATAATAATAATACAACCTCATCTCCAAAAGAGTTGGGACGCTGTGCAAAATGTAAATAAAAAACAAAATGCAATAATGTGCAACTCATTTAAACCCTATATTTCATTGAAAATAGTACAAAGACAACAAATCAAATGTTGAAACTGAGAAATTTTGTTTTTTGAAAAATGTATGCCCAGTTTGAATTTGATGCCAACAACACTTTCCAAATGTTGGGACGGGGGCAACAAAAGGCTGGTAATGCTAAAAAACATCTGGTGGTTAATTGGCAACAGGTCTGTAACATGATTGAGTATAAAAAGAGCATCCCAGAGAGGCTGAGTCTTTCAGAAGTAAAGATGAGGAGGGGTTGACCACTCTGTAAAAGACTGCAAAGGCAAATAGTGCAACAATTCAAGACTAATATTTCTCAACATAAAATAGCAAAGAAGCTTTGCTTTTCATCATCTACAGTACATAGTAACATTAAAAGATACAGAGAATCTTTGGGCCCTCAGGCAGCACTGCATTAAAAACAGACATGATTCTGTAGAGAAAATCACTGCATGGGCTCAGGAACACTTCTGAAAACCACTGTCTATAAAAAATCTAAAACACAAAGAAGAAATCATATATAAACAAGATTGAGAAATGCTGCCACCTTCTCTGTGCCCAAGCTCATTTAAAATGGACTGAGGGGAAGTGGAAAAGTGTCCTGTGGTTCTGACGAATCAACATTTGAAATACTTTTTGGAAATCATGGACACTGTGTCCTCCGGGCTAAAGACCACTCAGCTTGTTATCCGTGCACGGGTCAAAAGCCAGTATTCATGATGGTATAGGGGTTCATTAGTGCACATGGCATGGGTGACGCGCACATCTATGAAGGCAGCATTAATGCTGAATGATATATACAGGGTTTGGCAACAAATGCTGCCATCCAGACGACATCTTTTTTAGGGAGGGCCTTGCTTGTTTCAGCAAGACAATGCCAAACCACATTCTGCCTGCATTACTACAGCATGGCTTTGGATTAAAAGAGTCCGGGTGCTGAAAACATTTGGCGCATTATGAAATGAAAAATACGACAAAGGAGCCCCCGAACTGATGAGCAGCTGAAATCCTGTATCAAGTAAGAACAGGAAAACATTTCACTTTCAGAACTACAGCAACTGGTCTCCTCAGTTCCCAAACGCTTACAAAGTGATGTTAAAAGAAGAGGTGATGCAACACAGTGGTAAACATGCCCCCGTCCCAATTGTTTTGAAACATGTTGTTGGCATCAAATTCAAAATGGGCATATATTTTTCAAAACACAATAAAATTTCTCAGTTTTAACATTTGATATATTGTCTTTGTAGTATTTTTCTAAAAAAAATCAATTGCATTGCATTTTTATTTACATTCTGCACAGCGTTCCAACTGGAAATGGGGTTGTAATAATAATAATGATAACACTGCAAATTTTACATCTTCATTAGAAGGATATTTCAGCAGGCCATATGGGGGGGGGGCGAGGGGGGCAGTAATGGTTTGAATGGTGAATGTTATGGGGTTGGGGAGTCATGGAGCATCCACAACTTTTAATAAATACAGATGTTTTCAATTTCTGTATACACAGCCACTGAAATTGTTAAATTATATATAAAATATAATTTAATGTTTACTACAAATATAATTCGATTTCATATTTGAGCAAGTACTGAAAGTTGGTAAGGTCTAATTTTGTTTAGCTGTTATAATTTGTTGTTAGCTCTCTGCTGTCAACCTACTCTAATGAGGGCGAAATACAGTCCAATTACAAAGAAAATAGAATATAGACCACTTAAAAAGAATAACCAGCCAGTGAGCAGAAACTAGAGACTATTTGTCTATGCAATATTATAATAAAAGTAATCCTTAGTAAGTGACCCTTGGTAATTAGTAGCAGACATCTTTGTCAAAAATGCAGGCAAGATGTACAGTTGTATGCCAAAGTTTGAATACCCCCAGTCAAATGACATGTTTAATTGATTTTCTAAATGAAAATACAGTAGCACATTCTTTACAGATATGTAATGTTATATAAATAAGTTACTACATTCTCTACAGATATATGTAATGTAATGTAATTTTTCTGCAAATTGTCATGCACAATATCTATTTAATAGCTATGATTAACATAAATAAAGTGGATATATAACTATAGTATATAGTTATAATATATAGTAAATCTAAATAAAGAGTAATTGTGAAGAATGTGATGTGTTTTCTTTGTAGAGTATGTATAATTATTTTCTCTTAGACAATCAACAAAACATTTGACTGGGGTGCCCAAACTTTTGCATGTGACTGTACAGTGGAGAGAGTCCTGTACATGTAAAGTGGACTGAAATATAATGTCTCTCATGTAAAGTGACCAAGGTATAGGGCAGTCCATAAAGGTGAATATTTAGGCTGAGGTATCAGTGCAGTGTTAATGTCAAAGTCCATCAAGTAGATCTTTTCAGGAGTCTCACTGTCTGCAGGATGTAACTGTTCACGAGTCTGGAGGGCTGGACCTGGATGTTCTGTAGCCTTCTTTCAGAAGGAGTGTGATCAGCTCATGTGAGGAGTGAGAGAGATCCTTAGTGATACTGTATTTTATACAGCATGCAGTGTAGATGTCCTTGTCATTGAAGCGTAACCTAAGATTAGTGCCGCTTAATTTACACTGAGGGGGGTGGGATTCTGGCGAAGTAGACCAGTAGTTCACAGCCTCTGGAGATCTACTTTCATGCAGGTTTCATCTCTAACCTAAATCTAACATACCTGATCCAGCTAATCAAAGACTGTGGCTATGTCCAGAACCACAAATTATTATATATTAGGATAGGATTAGGATATTGTGGTGATGTGAAGTGATAAGTTATATCAATTCCTTCTAGGCAGAACATAGATTTTACCTAAATAAAATATTTTTAAAGTGCAGTTGTATAAATATTAAGACTTATAGGTTAGGTTAGCTAGATAGTATCGGTATTGAAAAAGTGGTATCGCTGCATCTCTAATATGTGGAAAAATATGGGAAAAAAAAACTACAAAAATGAAGAAATATGTGACAGTGGCCATTACTGCATCACATGTTTTACTGGGACTGAGATCAGTCATCACATTTGAAGTATTATCACAGATTAGTAAGGATAAAGTTGTTTTTGAGTGTGTATAAGCTTTGTAATTGGCTTTACAGCACAATGGTTAAATCACTCATTCTACACACGAGAGACATCTTTTGTTTCCCCATATGCTGTCTCTCAGGTGCAGCATATTGCCAGTTTATGGACATGTTGTTTCCTGGGTGCATTCTACTGAAGAAAGTGAAGTTTCAAGCAAAACTGGAGCATGAGTACATTCACAACTTCAAAGTACTACAAGCAGCCTTCAAGAAAATGAATGTGGACAAGGTGAGAGCCATTGGTAAACCTGCACTGTAAAAAAAATTGTTTGTCAGCTCAACCTCAAGAAAATATTTTCAATGAACCATTGTTTAATCAGAGTATTTATTTGAGTTGAATAAAACTAGTTCAATTGCTTGTTGCCACATGAAATTTTTTAGGTGTCTGCTCAATTTCATGTTTTTTGCCTTAACTATTATGTGTAGTTTTTGTGATGTTTTTAAAATGAACTGGAAGAGAAGAACGCTGCTGTTGTTTTCTGTTGAGAGATTTTTCAAATTCCTTCTGCCAGTTTCTTCTGTTTGATTTGAGTTGGGTGTCGCAAGACCTGCCAAAGTACCACTGAGAGTTAGCAATATGTATACGTCAGCTACTCACATTCCTCGTCCTCATATAAAGTGACTTCTCTGCTGATGCTCCAAGTCCCAGCCAAAACTCTGAGTAGGTTAAGTTTTTCTATATCTGTTAATGGTGTTGGTTATGAAGGTTAACTACGATGTTGTTTGTAGCATGGCTAGATGCTGCTTCCTACATGCATTTGCCACCTGTTGCAGGATCCTGTTATAAGCGATTAACTTAATTTAAGAGAGCTCGATTGCTAACGGTCCACCTTAACTGTATAAAATGATGTTAGCAAACTCCTGAACATCAAAGCTCACAGTGTTTCCCCACAATTGTGCTTTACAGGAGTGGCACAAAATACGGCACACGAGAAATTTCTCCACCTGTATATTCACAAATATAAATCTATAGCAATAGGTTATGGGTGTAAAATGTAGTTAGATCTCTAAAATATCCATTAGACAGCTTGTTCTCCATTTTGTATTTTTTACTCACCTTTCAGAAACCAAGAAGAGCAAAGTGGTCTGTTTTTCTGCTCAAACGTGTAGGACTGAACAACACTGAATTGATGGTGTCATGGGTTGCTTATGTTGCCTTGAAGATGCCACTGTCAAACAGTTTGTTTTCTGAAATGACCATACAGTTATGAGCAGACAGCAGCTTGGAATTTTAGGAGCATAAATCTACTGCTAATTTTGCTTCTTACTACATGAAGTAATTTTTTAAGGTTGGACTGACAATCCGTTTTACAATTTAAGGAATGACCTAAGAATACTGTAACTGTCAAATTACAGTACAGTAGTGTTTCCCAACCTGGTCTTCAGGAACCCCACACGGTCTACATTTTTCCTTCATGCCTATGTGTTACGAGTTAGGTTGGAACAAAAATGTGGACCGTCTTGGGGGCCTTGAGGACCGGGGTGGGAAACACTGCTGTAGGATGAGAAGAAATTTTCAGTGTAACAGATACATTAATAATAATATAAAAAAAAGTTATCAGAAAACTATTATTATTATTATTATTATTATCACTGTGTTTTATTATGTACATTATTTGTGTTTGATGCAGATCATCCCAGTTGAAAAGCTGGTGAAGGGAAAGTTCCAGGATAACTTTGAGTTTGTTCAGTGGTTTAAGAAATTCTTTGATGCAAACTATGATGGCAAAGAGTACGACCCCCAGGCAGCACGACAAGGCCAGGATATCATCCCTTTGTCCAACCCAGGTAAACTCATTCTTTAATAACCTAAAAATATTTCTGTGAAAAGCAGGAAATATTGGAGCAACCATAGTCCAAAACTAAACTGATTATACCTGATCCCATGTGAGTTTCTTAGTGGGCCATTAAAACAACTAGCAAACAAATTTAGTTTTTTTTGGTGTATGAAAAGGTTTTTATTAAGGATATCAATGCTGTCGCATTAAAACCTTGTAACTCTTTAACTCCTTGTAATTTTCTTTTTTTCCCATTTTTGAAATCATTTGAAAATTCCAGTTTACATTGCATGACCATTTTATGCTGACTGAACCAATAGAAGTGGTTTACTTAATTAATTGTAAAACTCACTTTATATTGACATACAGTGCTTCTCAAAAGTGGAATCACCATTTTCAATAATATAAAACTAATGCTGTTGCAGACGCACAACGAAACATTTTTTTCTATTTTTTTTTCTGTTTTTTTCTGATGCTACTAATCTACAACTTCATAACTGACTTCGTAGTATTGAGACCTAGACACCTCTGGTTTTGCTTTGAAATGTCATTTTTGTTTGAAGTATATTGGCAAAGATAAATAGCTTTACATCTCATTTTTTCAAATGCCAAAAACTTGCACAGAGCTGTATGTTTTATTAGCCTGATTTACTCAAATAATAATCATAGTCACCCATGCACCATTTGATTATTTTAAACATTTGATTCTCACTAGTTATTAGTGAGATGTCTGGTTTTGGTTGTTGTATTCACCTCTGTGCAGTGATTGACTGAGCTGGTTTGGTGCAGGGCCTCAAAGGACTTCTCCAACAGGACCTAAAAACATGCCCACGCCCCAGCGGCCGCCTAGCTCTGCCCCTTTCGCTGGTGTGAGACGCAACACACCCATGTTACGGAATGGAGGCAGTGATGCTGAGATCATGGAACTCAACCAACAGGTCTACACAAATACACACACACAAACCAAACACAGATGTTTATAAATACAGTTGTATGCAAAAGTTTGAACACCCCTGGTCAGATTAGATGTTTTGTTGATTTGCTAAGTGAAAATAAGTTATACTCAAACACATACTCAAATATGGCAAACAAACCTAAATATGACACTTCTGTCTGCAAATTTTAGTGCACAATTTCTATTTGCTTGCTAAGTTTTACCAGAGACGTTATGAAAGAGGAAACTGGACACTGGTTGAAACATGAATGGGAAAGCTCATAACACTCAACATGGCATCTGTTTACAGGGAAAGTCCCGCCAGTTGACTTGCTGGTTATGCCACAAGTGGGTAAAGCCCCCTCGTTGTCTAAATCTATGCAAGAGCACCAGCAACAACAACCTGAAAAAACTAATTTTTTATGTTATTGAGCCAAACACCACAAAACATTTTTGTTCTTCAGATTTTACCAGTGATTTCATATATGTTTTAGAAATTTGACCTTTAGTTTAAGTTTTTAGGTCTTTCTCCATTCAGAGAGATAGCAGCCGCATCTTGTATGGTTGAAAATAACTGCCTGACGGTGTTGCAAAGACGGCCGCTAAGTGAACAGACTTCCCCATAAGGACTTTCCTATATTGGAAAAACTAAAACATAAAATATGAAATGTGCCAGTATGTTTTTTTTCCAGTGTGTTAAATTCAGCAAATAAACGGTAAATGTGTATTAAAGTGTGCATAAGTGTTCTCTGTAGAGAATGTGCACTTATTTCAACTTAGAAAATCAAAAAGTTCAATATTTTGTTTATACTACAACTTGGTTAATAATTCAATACTCTTGATACATTCAGTTCTTCACTTAAATAGGGAAACACCAGGTTGACATTGTGTTTTCCCTAAGTTAAGGAAACTTCCTAAGCTAATTGATTCAGGTGGGCAGAGATGGTTATTAGCGTATCTGAAACATAACGGTGAAGAGTTTGAGTATCATGAGACATTACATTTCAAGAAACAATATAAAGTATAATCCTTTATGTATTAATTTTAAAAGACTGTGAAAAACTGAATTTTCCTTTTTTTAAAAAATAAAAATGGTATGTAGTATGTTAATACTGTTGAAGTTTTAAAATGTACCATTTACTTCCCAGTCTAAACAGTCCATATGTAAAAATGAAGCAGGAAAAACACTCCACTGTTTTTGGTACATTATAAAAACAAGACATTTACATACACTTTAGGGCCAAAAGTATGTGGACACCTATACATTGCGCCCATATGAGCTTGGATATCCCATTCCAAAACTGTAGGGAATAATATGGATTTGGCTCCCCTTTGTGGATATAACAGCCTCTACTATTCTGGAAAGGTTTTCCACAACATTTTGGAGTGTGTCTGTGGGAGCTTGTGCCCATTCAGTCAAAAAAGTATTTGTGAGGTCTGGCACTGATGTTGGACAAAAAGGCCTGGCTCATAATCAACATTCCAATTCATCCCAAAGGTGTTCAGTGGGGTTGAGGTCAGGGCTCTGTGCAGTCCAGTGGAGCTCCACAACACTCCACTCGTCAAGCGATGTCTTTATGGAGCTTGGTTCTGAAACAGGAAAGGCTTTCCCCAAACTGTTGCCACAAAGTTGGAAGCATATATTTGCCTAAAATGTCTTTGCATGCTGTAGCATTAACATTACCCTTCACTAGAGCTAAGGAGCCAAGCCCAAACCCTGAAAAACAACCCCAGACCACTATCCCTCCTCCACTTAACTTTACTGTTGGCACTGTGCATTCTGATAGGTTGTATTCTCCTGGCATTCACCATGCAAATTCATCTATCAGACTGCCAGACAGTGAGGAGTGATTCATCACTTCAGAAAAAACATTTCCACTGATCGAGAGTCCAGTGGTGGCATGCTTTACACCCGTCACCCTCCCCTGCCCAACACTTGGCATTGAGCGTTTTAATCTTAAGCTTGTGTATAGCTGCTTGGCCATGGAAACCCATTTCATGAAGCTCCCAATGCACAGTTATTTTGCTGATGTTGCCTCCAGAAGCAATTTGGAACTAGTAAGTTATTCAATAGAAGATGCACTAAGCAGCCCTGCTCTGTGAGTCTGCGTGGTGTACAGTTTCATGCCTGAGTTGTTGTTGCTCCTAGACGCTTAAATTTAACAATAATACTACTTACAGTTCACTGGGGCAGATCTAACAGGACAGAAATTTCACAAACTGACTTGTGCCATCCTATGACAGTGCCATGTTTAAAGTCACTGATTTCTTCCATGTGGCCCATTTTACAACAAATTTTTGTCTATCGAGATTGCAAGGATATGTGCTTAATTTTATCCACCAGTTAGCAATGGGTATGGCTGAAACACCTGAACTCTATAATTATGGTGGTGTCCACATACCTTTGGCTATATAGCGTATGTCCGTATTCAGCCTACAGCAGGTTGGCTCCGCTCGTGAAGTTATAAGGATTGTTTTAGCTAGAATTTTTCTGTGTTCAGTCCACTAAGCACTGGGTGATGAAGTGTTTTTAATTTTTGTCAGGATGTAATTGTGGTATGAACACTGTGATTCTACACTTAGCATCAGTGTCAAAATACTGGTATCAAGGCAGCCCTACACTGAGTAGGGGTGTGGGAAAAAATCGATTCTTAGTTGCATCGCGATGGAGGATGTGGATGATGCTGAATCGATTCACAAATGTCAAAAATCGATTTTCTAAATTTTACTTGATAACCGTTATGTTGAGGGAAGTGAGGAAGTGCAGCGCCCGGACAGTCTGTGGCGTGCACACTACATTAAAAGCTAGTGCAGGGGTCGGCAATCCAAATGTTAATAAGAGTCATTTTGTCCTTTCAACAAAAATCAAACAACCTTGGGAGCCACAACATTTTGAGTCCATTTTACCATTACATGTTAATGTCTTAGCGTAGGCTAAAAACATAATACAAACCAAAACGCAGACTTACTTTGCTCTGCTTTAAACTTTAGCTCAGCTGTAGCCGCATCACTAGCAGGAAACTTCTTCACAAAAGTAGAACAGTTTCTTGTAACATGTGTCTCAATGTTCTACTTTTTACGAGGCTGAAGTCAGCTTCTCATTCGCCAGCTTCTTGTTTGAATGTTCCCGTTCCACCTTAAATGGTGCTTGAAGTGCCAGAATGTAACTGCTGCACCATTTAAGGTGGAACAAGAAACAAGAAGCTGACTTCAGCTTCACATTTATTTTAGTGTTTGACAGTTGAGTTGAATCTCAGTGCAGATTAAACGTATCAAGAAACTAGCTGGAGTGATTATAAATGCAAGTCTATTCGTCTCCAAATTATCAATGTTTGTCTTAATTTTTTCTTTTTGCCTTTTTGTTAGCTACTAGCTAGGTAAAGTAGCAGTCATAGGCTACATTAATTGCAGTGTCTAAGACCATTTATTGTTAAAACTGTGTTAGAACAATCAGCAGAGCTTTATTTTACAGCAAAAGAGAATTCTTTTATTTTCACCTAGAAATCTAATTGTGATGTGGTGCTGCAACAGGGCAGTAAAAGAGTCACAGGTTGCCAACCCCTGAGTTAGCGTATGGAAGCACTTTGGCTTCTATGGACTTGAATGGGAAAAGGACCTGGACAAGAGCCACATTCAAGTTGTGTCACACTAGAGATGAAACGATATTAAAATTTCATATCACGATTATCATGACCAAAATTATCACGATTATCGGTATTATCACGATATTGTTCAAATGTGTTGAAAAGTAAAATAAATAAAAAAATCAATACTGATACACAAACTGAAACTCATTTCACCAACTTTTATATTAACACAAATAGAATTGGCAGCAATATGCACTTTTTGTTTGCATAAACATTAAAAAATAGTCAGTACATTTGTAGTATTACTTTTGTATTACATACAATACTTGTAATTCTCTGTAAACAAAAGAATAGCAAAAGTATTATTATTACTGTTATTATTATTATTATTATTATTATTATTATTAATTACAATAACTAGGGATTTCCCTGCATAGAGAATTAAATCTGGACCAACTCTGAGATGGGTCTTAATGGAAAACTACTACTTCTAAGAAGTGCTGCACTCGGGGGATTTCTGTCCGAACTGCAGCTGCAGCATTATTGTGCCGTTGTGGCGCTGTACCCCTAATCAATACAGTGCACCAGGAAAAACAAAATCACAGAGGAATTGCGTGACCGTGCTGTGAGCTGCAGACAGTGTAGAACTCACACAGCGTGTCTTCACCTGTGGAGCTGCTTCTCTAAAAGCATTTTAAAACTAAAACATAACTTAAAATTAACATGCGTCTGTGCTGCGGCAGAAACACTCCTAAAGTTTAATCTCTGAAACACAGCGTTTACTCGCGCAAGGGCCCGTCTCAAAGCACACTATCTTCCCTATGTAGTGCACTTCGTGGATCATGAAATAGCAAATCCTTCACCCAAAGAGTGCAAGAAATGTTCGACTAAGTCATCTATAATCAACATTAACAACAGGTTACAAATTCCCTATTTAAAGCTCAGCTGCTGGTTAATGATGATCGTGTTTGTTTGAACAGTAGCGCACTATGTAGGGGATTTGAGATGGTGTAATTCTCTTCTCAGAAAGTAAACACTGAAAGCGAGACGAGAAAGCGGAGCTGTGCAGATTGAACTTTTGCAGCGTCTCGTTCCAGAGCTCATTTTGGAGACTCTGCTCCACAGAAATACGTGTTAAAAGCTTTAGTTTCGATTCACAGTTGATTCACCGATTGTTTTTCTTTTTTTTTTGATGCTAAAAGCTTCATTTTATATTATTAACGAACCATAAGCATAGGTTAAACCACACAGACCATGACATTTCTTCTATTTCGAAGTCCCGTCACAGACTTTAAAGTTAACCTTGCATTCTTGCAAGTAGCAGGTGGGGGTCGCGAAGATGACTCGGTAAGGTTTGATGTGTTTCCCCCATTCGCCGCTATTTTCCTTCGGCCTGTTCTGCAGACAGGGTGGTCATCTTCAATTAACTTTCCTTCTGCATCCTTATAAAACCCAAAACATGACCAAACGTCAGACTTGGTCTTCTTAGAAGGCTGAAATATCTCCGAATCTCCGAGTTTTTCACACCGCGGTAATCGACCGCGGTTTTAACGATATTTTAAAGTTCAAACGGTACTACTAACCGTCATTAATTTTACCGCGGTTTACCGTGAAACCGGTAACCGTTTCATCTCTATGTCACACTAAACTTAAATATTTTGGAAACACAACAAACCTGAGAAACCATAATGTTTCCACCCATTTTACGCCCAGTTGTAGTTGCTGCCAACAAGCAAGCAATGTCAAAGCTTCCACCCAACTCGGAAAGGGCCAAGCAAATTACGAACTCTATCTCAACTTTTATTGCCAAGGATTTGGGATCATTCTCAGTCGTTGAGAAGCAGGGCTTTCACGCTATGTTGCACACTTTGGAGCTGAGATACAGCTCCCCCGTCTCATATGGAGTCAAATTGAGGTCTTTAGTAGTGACGAGAAAATAAAACTATCACAAAAATGTGGTCTCAGTGAGTTGCAAAAATAATTAGATGTTGCAAACAAAGAAGAGAAATTGTGCTACCTTTTTTCTCTTGCAACATTTTTTTAGGATAAATCTTCTGCGACATTCTGCGTTATACGCTTCTATTTTTTTCTGCAGTTCTTTCCCCTTTTATTTTACTCTTTTTTGTTTGCGACTAAGACGGAAAGGCGTGTCATGAATGTTTTGCGTCATCAGCTGGAGCCGCCACCGCAGAGCCCATCATTTCAACTAATGCCATCATGACAGATGCCAGCCAAGCTGGACCACAGGTATTTATAGTTTATAAGATGCTTTAATAATTGATTTTTTTATTTATAGACATAAGATCTAATTCATTAGATTTGTTGGTAACACTTTACATTAGGGGTACATGACCTGCCAGTAATTAAGGCATTTACTAATTATTAATTAATCAGAAAGTAATGAGTCATCAATCAGGAACAAACAAATAAGTTATATATTAACAACCATAAGGTTAAATTGCTAATGCATGTACTAATAAATAAAGATGATGGTAATAAAGGCTTTCTTCAGCATCTGAATTTATCAGGAATTCATGTGTTATTTAAGCATACAAAAAAAATTTAGTACACATTGGCGTGCTGCTAGAAGCTCTGTTAGTGTCATTCTATTCATTCAATTCATGATTACCTATGTCATACTGCAATGTCATACTGTTACAACATTAACGTAAACTGTTGTTTTTGTTTAGTTTATTTACTGAAAATAGGCATTTGATTTAATTAAAACTGAATTATCTTAATATATGCCACCATTACTATGAAAAATACCACCTTTAGTAAACTAAAAATGTGTTTCCCATATACATCTGTTATTTTTTTTTTAAATGTGTTATATCTATTTTTTTTAGTAATGGAAACACAGCATTTTGGAATGAAACTATTCAACTGTTTCCGCAGCTGAAAATTAAAGCTGCTTTTTTTGCCAGAAGGTGGCAGCAATTGCAATAATTGCTATATGTCAAGCGGCCATAGATTCTTGAGTGAATATCTCTATGAAACTGTTTAAGACAAGAGAATGAAAATCATTGAAAAAGAAAAACTTAAACATGAAAGCATTTTTTGTACTTTAACAGGTGAGTTATGCATATGCATACTGGAGTAATACGCAAGTTACATTGCAGATATAATGTTTACACATGGTATTGCCTAGTTATCTGAGTGTTGTGAGTGTTTGCTAGTATGTATTTTCGTGCCTCACATCTTTTTAGACTAATGTAAAACATGCAGCTGTTATCTCTGGTGAAACAGAACAGATTTTCAGATGCTGTTTTTTTCTGAATTTGTTGTAAAGTAGCTTAAATATTTGGTTTGTTGCTTACTTATTTGCAGTAAACCTTTTTGGTTTTAAGAGTAGTAAGGAGTTTGTGTTTTTCACGAACATTGTGTGAGTCCATTAATATGTGGCGTCAGGCACGTCTGTTCTGTTTGGTTAAAAATTACATGTTGATTTTAGGCTGCTTGGTTCATTTGTTATTCCTTCTTTGACAGGGACCCTTATCCTGAAGAGCTCTGTGCGTGCAGTGGCAGTGCGTCACAGGGCCTAGTAGTAAACAGACTGAGCCGAGACAGCAAGAGGGCGTGCCAACTGCACACAGCTGTGCGCTAACCTAGCGCAATATTCTCCCTTTTTTTTTGTACGCCGTTCTGAGTTTTTCAGTAAAGCTGAGTCATGGATTCGAACTTGTGTGAGTTCTTTGGAAACACCGCATGCTGCAATATTAATATATCTTCTTGACGTTAAGTAGCAGTTCTGTCCTTTTTACAGATGTTTGTGAAAAACCAGTATGTATTGGCCCCTCTTCATTTTCTATGCACTACACTGACATATTCACATGCCCTGGTTCTGTGTATTGTGTGAAAGTCATAAGATGATGATAATTTTTTTTTTTTAGTCCTATAAATTTTGTCATTTTTTATATGAGCCATATTGTACTTATCACTCATTACTGTTCTTGTGAGGGTAAACGAATGTCTGCCATTTTGGTAAGTAATAATTAACCCCTGCTGTTTCGTAAGCTCTTAGTAATAAATTGTGACTTGTTCATCACTTTACTTTAGGGGGCACAAACATTATGAATTCATCATGAAAAATCTATATTTAATCAGTAATAAAGTATGATTAGTTCATCACTTTACTTTAGGGGGTACAAACATTATGAATTCATCATGAAGAATCTGCATTGCTTTCTTTATAATGAATTGAGAATTGACTCTGCATAGTGTTGTATTTTCCGTACACTGACACACCTTACTCTTTCCTTACACTGATCAACCAGCACAACAGGAGCTTGTAAATTAGCAGTTGAGTTCAATCAGGTGTACAAGATGAGGGAAAGCACAAACACGTGCATAGAATTAAGGATTCTTATGACCCTGGGCTTTCTCAGCACTACACTTACACAGAAGTTAACACCAAGCAACACTGGAACTACGGAAAAAGAATAAGTTCAGGAAATGTTAATGTTACACGGCCGTTTGTTATTGATTGTGTCAACTTATAACATATATTTAAATAATATATACAACATATATTTATATACCTGTGGACCAGCTTGGCTAGCGTCTGTCATGATGGCATTAGTTGAAATGACGGGCTGGGCGGCAGCGGCTCCAGCTGATGACGTGAAACATCCATGACACGACTTTCCATCTTGCGCCTTTCTCCTCTTCCCACGCCCCCAAAAAAGGTCAAAACTGACCCGCAAACAAAAAACAGTAATGCAAACGAGGAAAGTACTGCAGGAAAAAACATATGAGCGTAAAACGCAAAGAAAAAATAGTGTCGCAAAAGATCTATCCTAAAAAAAAACGTTGCAAGAGAAAAAAGGTAGCACAATTTTTCTTCTTTGTTTGCATTATCTTAATATTTTTGCAACTCACTGAGACCTCATTTTTGATCTCATTTTCTACAATGAGACCAAAACCGAAGTTATGAAATCACAAAAAAAGGGGTAGGATAGCTGTAACGTGATGCCTGGACATCCATTTCCACAGGATCTTATGTCACCGTAACAGCGCATTTTATCACAGATGAGTGGCAGCTAGCCTCTCATGTGCTCCAAACAAGAGCAGTGAATGAGAGCCTTCCACTTGACTTGGCACATTGCTTCCATTTGATTCATTAATGAACGATATTGGAAGTAAATTCATTATGGACTATTACACATGCTTTGCTTTGAAAGTACCAAGTTGTCACACAGTGAGAAAAAAAGAAATCCTGTATAGAAAAAAAAATGCATCAAGATGCATCAATGATAATTTTATAATCGCATCGCAGCCCTCTGAATTGTAATTGAGTCGAATCATGAGGTGACTAGAGATTCCCACCCTCAACACTGAGCACTAAAAGAGAATTTTTTTCTTGCTTTTAACCTTTGGTTTGCTCTGGCTGTGTTGTCCTCTTTATGTAGCTGATGGACCTGAAGCTGACAATAGATGGTCTGGAGAAGGAGAGAGACTTTTACTTCAGCAAACTCCGTGACATTGAGCTCATCTGCCAGGAGCATGAAAGCAAGAATAATCCCATCCTTACCAAGATTGTCGACATTCTCTATGCTACTGAGGTATAATGAGCTCCCAATGATAAACACTCCAACTATATATTAACCTTTTGAACTCTGGAAGTCCATGGTTCCTCGCCATTATACCAACAGAATTTGAATAGTTAGTTTTATAGTTAGGGTTGCCAACCTAAAGAACTGACTTTGAGACTCACGTAATTGATCCAGGCTTCTTGGAATTGAAAACTCAGTCTTTGAAATTTTTAGTGCATTTATTTGGGTAGCCTGTGATTGGTTAGACTTTGTTGGCTTCCTATTTGCCAGCTTCTTGTTTGAATTTTCCCGTTCCATCTTAAATGGTGAAGCAGTTACATTCTGGTGCCTCAATTTTCAAAAAAAATAAATAAATAAACAAGAAGCTGGCAAATAAGAAGCTGACTTCAGCATCAACTGCCTTTTGTTTTCTTTTTATGATCTGAAGACAAGAGTATCAGCTAAAATGAAGGTTGATTAGACCCAATTAATGAATCCTCAAATTTATGACAAGAATACAGAAATCCATAATGTTTTTAGTGATGGCTGATTTACAAACGAAAGGAAAAAGGCAATGTGTTTTGTGTTTTGTTGGGCGGTGTTTGGTAAGTTGAATGAACCCACTTTACTGCCTTAATGCTAGCCTGTTTGCTGTATAGCAATGTGCTATTGTTCAGAAGTAGGCCGCTTGTACATATTGTTGGTGTAAACCACAATGAAGTTAGTTTTATTTTAGATATTCGTCTTTTTGGTGCTAATAACTTTTGAACAGACTATGAAAGCCAGTAAAAACTTACATATTCACAACAGTAGGACCACAGAGAGTGATGCGCACCCTTTTTTGCAGTTTGGGTGACATTTTGGGTGACATTTAACATATCCACATACAACACTAAAACAACTGTTTATGGTACAGCAAGGTGTCAGCAATGATGTACAACCTTGAATGTAATGCAATAACTTCTTTATATTAATTTTTATGGATTTTGAATTTCAATAGCATTTTAGCTGCATAACATACACCACTAAAATCAATTGTGTATAGTGCAGCAAAGTATCATTGATGCACAACCTTTGAATGTATTGCAACTTACATATGTATTTTATGTATTTTTAATTTCAATAATATTTTAACAGCATTACATACAACACTAAAAACAATTGTATATGGTGCAACTGGATATCAACAATCATACACATTTGGATTTTGAATGTAATACAATAACTACTTTATATTAATTTTATGTGTCTTGATCTTCAATAGCATTTCAGCAGTATTAAATACAACACTAAAACAAAGCAAATGTTGTTGCCAAATTGAGCAATGATGCACAACCTCTGGATTTCGAATGTAATACAATAACTGCTTCATTTTTTTTTCCATTTTGAGTTTAAATAGCTTTTTAGATGCATTACATATAACACTAAGATCAGCTGCGTTACATCCAAAAGTAAAATTCAAGTTTGTGCATTATTACTGAGACCTGTCTGCAAACACCGCTGATTTCAATGTTGAATGTAATGCAGCTAAAATACTATTGAAATTCAAAATGAAAAAAATTCCGCTTGAAATAAATTAAACAAGACTTTTCTACACTCTCATGTGATAGGAAACTACCCATTTTTAAGCAAACATTCTAGATGACTAAGCATCTATTGAACCTTAAAGACTGTGAATGTCTGGTGAATATTGAATATTGATCATCCAGTTTTATATCATATACAGATAATATCACTTTTTACAGGTATGGTATGCTCACTGTTGTTAGAATAAGTATTGGCAAGTACATATTAGTTACTGGTTAAATAAATATCCATTTTCAAAATTAGTGTCTATTAAAAGTTGTGTGCAATTCTCCCCATAGATCAAAGCAAATAACACAATTAGTCAGATGTGTATAGACATAGAGGTTATGGAGCTATACTGGAGCTATTTGTTTTTATCCAACATTATCTATTGTTAACAGGAACAATAAAATATGTATTTAGGTGCACTGAAATTTGGAAAAGAAATGTGTGTGCACAGATGTAGGCGTGGTCTAGAAATGCATGCATTTTATTCTAATTGGAAATTTTGTCCCAGTTTTCCAGTATTAACACTAAGAGAGGGGTAAGTTAAATGTCACCCAAAATGTCACCCACAGAAAAAAATGTCACAAAAGAAAAGGTGTGCATCACTTTCTATGGTCATCTGTCATGGATATGTCAGTCCTTACTGGCTACTATGGTCCATTTAAAAGTTATTAGCATCAAAAAAACTTGTAAACGTCTGCGTATAGGCTATTTAGAGTGATTTGGGGAAATTACAGAGATCCTTTATTCTGTATGAAACGACTGGTCAAATCACAGATTAATTGAATTACCGGACCCCCTCTAATAAATCTATTCCAGCTCGAATGGGGCTTTGATAGGTATGCCTGTGATTGGTTAACCTATGATTAGTTAGTGTATGATTAACCTGTGGCTGGTTAAGCTATGAGTAGTTAGCTTATGACTGGTTAACCTGTGATTGGTTAATATCCATCCACCAGTGACTTCATTAAGTACAACTCTTTGTACCTACACTCACTGTCCATTTTATCAGCTCCATTTACCATGTAGGTGCATTTTGTAGTTCTAAATTACAGACTGTTGTTCATCTGTTTATCCGCATAATTTGTTGGCCCCCTTTCACCCTGTTTTTCGATGGTCAGGACCCCCAAAGAGCAGGTATTATTTGGATGATCATTCTCAGCACTGCAAAGACACTGATGTGGTGGTGGCTTGTTAATGTATGTTGCACTGCTAAGAGTGGATTAGACACAGCAGTGCTGTTGGATTTTTGTAACCTTAGTGTTTGGACTGGACTGAGAGTAGTCCACTAACCAAAAACATCCAGCCAGCAGTGTTCTGTGGGCAGCGTCCTGTGACCACTGATGGACTGGAGGATGACAGGAGCACAAGCTGTGCAGCAACAGATGAGCTACTGTCTCTAACTTCACATCCACAAGGTCAGGGGTTCTGAGTCCTCGTCCTGGAGATCTACCACCCTGCAGAGTTTACTGCCAACCCTAATTTAACACACCTGATCTAGGTAATGGAGGTCCTACCAGTGCAACACACACTAACATGCAACCACCAGATCAGTGTCACTGCAGTGCTAAAAATGACCAACCACCCAAATAATACCTGCTCTGTGGTGGTCCTGTGTGGGTTCTTACCATTGAGGAACAGGGTAAGAAGGGGCTAACAAATTATGCAGAGAAACTGATGGATTACATTTTGTTTAATAGAACTACAACGTGCACCTATATGGTAATACCTGATAAAACAGACAAATAGCGTAGATACAAGAAGGTATGATTAATGAAGCGGCCGGTCAGTGTATAACTAGTTAGCCTATGATTGATTAGCCTATGACTGGTTAATCTATAATAAATTAGCCTGCGACTGGTTAATCTATGATAGGTTTATTTATGATGTTTTAACCTGTGATTGATTAGTCTAGATAGTTGATTTGGTTAGGGCAGTCCACAAAGGGCTAGTGTGGCTGCAAGTTCTTTCCAACAAAGCAGAAGCACATGAGATCAGCTGTTTGAAGACTTTTTGAGACCAACTGATTAAACAAGTAGAATCAGGAGTGCTTTAGCTTGTTTGGAATGAAAATCTGCAGCCACACCAGCCCTTTGGGGATAAGATTGGACACCCTTGGGTTAGGGTGACTGGTTGCCACCACCACTGCCACCTTCACTTGTTCTCAGCTTAGAACATTCCATGGGTGTGTCCCAAAACCTAGTGAGCTCTCTTAGTAGCTGCTGTCTACATAGGCAGCTGTCTAAGTAGGCAGCGTTCCATCTGTCACCTATCCTTACAAGACAGATGAATGAGACGCTGTAGTTAGACAGCAATGACGTCGCCGCTAGTTTCCGCCCACTGCACGAGACCAGCGTTTACTTACCTGCTCTGGCGGTTTATATGGTGATTTTCATTGTATTTGCTCTGAATGAAACAGCAAAATAGCTGCCAGTTAGATAAATGATGTTTTTTAAAAACAGATACTGTTTTATTTGTTTTGATTATTTTAATAAGACATATATATTAATACATACATCAAATTAAAATCTACATACTCCACACACAACTGCAGATAACTTTCATTGACCAAACAGAACAATGATATACACAACTACACAATTTAATACAGTTAAATACAGTCATTCACTAGCAATCAAATAATTTGTACAGCTATATACTTAACCATAATTACTTTATTAATTAATTTACAATTAATTTATATAACTATTCATACAATTACACATGGACCAGCCACATCATCAAATCCACCTCCTTGTATCTACACTCATTGTCCATTTTATCAGCTCCACTGACCATATAGGTATACTGTATTGTAGTTCTACAGTTACAGACTGTAGTCCATCTGTTTCTCTGCATACTTTTTAGCCCCCTTTCTCCCTGTTCTTCAGTGGTCAGGACCCTCACAGGACCACCACAGAGCAGGTAGTATTTGGGTGGTGGATCATTCTCAGCACTGCAGTGACACTGACGCGGTGGTGGCGTGTTAGTGTGTGTTGCGCTGGTACAAGTGGATCAGACAGCAATGCTAACACATCACCACCACATGGTGAGAACCTGATGCACAGTGTTACAGTAACTAGAAGCTCTACCCATCTGTGCAGCTGCAGGCTGTATGTGATCATCAGGCAAAGGTTTTTGGATGATTCTGTAGGCTTTCCTGGATCAGTGCATGATGCAGCGTCCTTCACACAGTAGGCGAGCATGATCCTTGGTGATGGTTGTTAGTCCCCCTCCTGGACGGTCGAGGCTTCAGTTCCTAAAATAAATGCAGACCTGTAATTTAACCTCAGTTTACTTTTGCCTAGCTGAATTATAATCAAGCATTTTTAAAATATTCAAATTATGTTTGAAACACACACTAAGGTTTAAAATACATAATTTCCTAATCTTTCAATTACGGTGCTAATTTAATCTTAATTATAAGCTCCGTGTTGGAACTTGTATTTTGTTTTTTAGGTTTTGCCACCTTTTCCTGTAGCCCCAATTCCAAGGGATAGTCCTATCAACAAATAAATCAAATTAGGGGTTTTAACTTTCTTAGAGAATAGATAAAGATATTAAAAGATCCAACATTATTCAACTAGATTAGGAAAGTGCTTCACCACACAAACATATTACTTCTGCTTAGTTATGATTAGCTGTTGTCAGAGGTGTAAAATTCTGGTCCAGAAAGTAAAAATCCTTCCCAGAATATTGTTCCAACTGCCTGGACAGCTCTGCTGGTGGTTTGATCTAACTAGAGAAGCCAGGCCGTTGGAACAAAATCCTGGGAGGACTTTTACTTTCTGGGCCTGAATTTTACACCTCTGGCTGTTGTTACATTTTATACTATAAGTGAGTATGCATAACTAACTCATTGGTGTCCAATCATATCCGCAGAGTGTGGCTGCAGGTTTTCATCAGTAATTGTTTTTCCTGATTAAGGGGAATCAGGGGAGCTGCTACTTGTTTCCAATGAAAACCTGCAGCTACAGCCTATGTGGATAAGATTTGAAAACCCCTGATCTAACTGGGGACCCAACACCCTACTTTTTTTACACTTCCTAGCTGACAAAGCAGAGTTTCTCTCCCGGTATACAGCCTCTCTCTATACAAGCCCTTATAAATGCCTCGAGCGCTGATCTGGTCCCTGAAAAAGGGGAATTCTGCCAAATCATTCAATACACACACAACCAGATCAATGTTAAGATCACACTACCTTGTCATTAGTTAATGTTTGACAAAACCTGTCGCTAGTTAAGCTACTTGGTCATTGGCCAGGAAGTTTGTTAGCCAACTGGCTATTCAAAACAATATCATAAGGCTTCAAAATCCTCTAGCATGCATGCTAATGGATTAGTGTTCCAAAACTGTAAAATGGTCACTGACGGACCTAAATTGCAAACTATAGGTTATTTGTTCACCTTTATGACAAGAAAACAAATAAAATACTACAGAAAATCAGAATGACTTACATTTGAAGATGATTTCGCCACTTGCTGAGCCGCTTCTGCCCGCCATCTTCAAACAAAAGTTGCGCTGCGTTGCATCGCGGGATTGCCTCAGCAGCTGAGGAGACATCTTGATATTCGGCCAAAATGAGATACCCCAGTAGGCAGCATATTTGAGGTATCTATAAATTGGGACAGCCTACTTGTCGGGAGCATGCATATTATGACGTAAAACTGACTATGTAGAGAGCTCACTAGGTTTTGAGACAGATTTGCAAGCCAGAGCAAACTAGCCAAACTAGGTAATTTGATGGGCCACAAAAAGGTTAGGTTTGCCTATTTTTGATTAGTCTGTGATTGATTAGCCTATGGTTACTGTATGATTGGTTAATCTGTGATTGTTTAGCTTGTGACTGGTTAATCTATGATTGGATAGCCTGTGACTGATTAAGCTTATGATTGGTTAGCCTGTGATTGGTTAGCTCGCAATTAGTTAGCCTGTTATTTGTTAGCTTATAATTAGTCCATGACTGGATAGTCTGCGACTGGTTAATCTACAAATTTGTTAGCCTGTGACTGATAGTCTAGTTAGTAGTTTATGTTAGGAAAACTGGTTCTTACCACCACTGCCACTTTCACATGTCCTCAGCTTAGAACACTTTACACTTTGCAAGCCAAACTAGATAGCTAATCGGATGAGCTACAAAAGAGACTGCTGACAGCATTATTGAGTCAATGCACTGTTTGCTTGAGTGTGCTGATTGTGGATTTCTGACTGTGAAACGTGTTTCATTTCAGGATGGTTTTGCTCCCCCAGAAGATAATGAAATCGATGAACAGGCACCGGACCAGGATGAATACTAAACACTAAAAAAAAAACCCGAAACAATGCATCCATTCATCCTTTGCTCTTTCTCCCATTCCATCTCTCTTATTCAATATTTTTCTTCTCTTGCCTTCATTTAATCTTTTTACACGCTTGATCTTTTTTATTGGTTCTTCATTCTTAATGTTACATTATTAGTCATAATCTATTTTAAACAACCGCTGATTAGCTTGAAAGCCTTTAACTTGTGCGTAGTGTGAGTGGTGCACTTACTTAGCTAATAGTTTTAGCTAACAAAATTGGTTGTAAATACCATTTTTGGCCTGATGATAGAGCTCACACTTTACCTGTACTATATCAAAGGTACTCATTTTTTTTTAGAGAAAACATAAAACACCCATCCTCTGCATTGCTACTGTACCTGACTCATTTTAAAACAGTTAGCTAATGATATTTTTTTAAAAAGCTGCTTCACTAGATGGCAAGATGACTACAGGATTTAACGGTTTATGTCTTGTTTGAAATACTCTGGGCTTTTATGGGAATCTGTTTATACTGTACAGAAAGTAATTTTAGGGTTAAAAGCCAGTGATCAGGGAAAGACTTTAGAATCAGCTGAATTTATCTGTACTGTGAATTTTTGAATTCTGAAAAAAAATCAAGACTGTGGCTGAAATTGTAAAATTATTTGCCATTTGCAGGATTCACATGGGTTCTAGAGTATTGCATGTTCCTGGGACATGCAAGCACGGACAATACTAATGCATACACCTTCTGCTAAGTGCTTACACCATCTACACAGGAGGCTGATGTTTTATTTACAAACAAGTGTGTTTTGGTGACTTGGGAAAAATCAAAGCTAATGAGCATTTAGAGGTAAAACTTGTCGTTGTAAGAGTATGAGATGTATTTATTTATGAAAGACGACCATAAATTGACCTTGGTGACACTGGTTAAAATGAGTAAAAATGACACAACGGGAAAACACAGGCCAGCTGATGGTTATCTGTGTCATATAAAACTGTTTTAAGCTATTAATTCAGTGTTCTATTCTTTTTTTGTTGTTTTCTTTTTTATATTGCACAGCATTAAATGCCACAAAGAATGATTTTAGTTAACAGTACCTGTCTGCTCATTCCTTCAACTACTCATTCTCCTATGTGTTGTCAAGGCTACATGGCCATGATGACTGTTTGCGGTACGTGCATCTATTTGTTTTACTTAAAATAAATGTAATCTGGAAAGGAAATAGTGACAGGTGTTTATTTTGTCGCTTCACTCTTGGTTACTATATCTTTTGAATCCTATGTGAGGATGCATTTGTTCTCTGCAGTTGTTCAGTTTTTCTGTACTGTAAAAACTTTATTTAAATTGTAGACATATAATACACATACATCACAACATACAAAAACACATTCTCCTTCAACAGTCCATCATTAGCCCATCAATAAGCCAGAGAGAGATGATCCACATTAAGGAGCTCCTGTGCACAATTTTGCAGTGTTGGCAGAGATGATATTGTTAATCATAATATGATCTCCATGATCAAAGCTGTAATGCACGTTATAGAGCAAGTGGTCACTGAGGGCTTAAGATTGATCTTGTCCCTACAAGTAGCCACACCAAAAAATATGAGAAAGAAGTTAATACAGATGTTTGTGCCGATGAACTATTTCCACCACTACTCCGTGAATACACTTCACATTGACAGATTCACCACTGGAAAATGACTCAAGAATTTCCTTCAACCCACAGAAACTCAAATAATGATTTTTGTTGGTGCATTTTCATGTTTTCCCTTTTAAACTGTTTTAGGAAGCTTTGGGTGGAATTTGTAGATATGTTTTGAGGGTTCTCTCATCATGATTTTAATTAAGATTAATTTCATCTAATTTTAGTGTGTCTAAGTTCAGGATTACACTTTAACAACAAATGATGCTATGGTACAGTTTAGAGTGTACAAAACAGCCTGTTTAATTCTAAGGCACAGGTTCTCAACCCTGGTCCTGGAGTAGTACCCCCTGCCTTGCACATTTTTTGTGTCTTCTTGCTTTAACACTCCCACTTCAACTAGTGCTTGTTAATTAGCAGATTTGTTGGATCAAGTGTGTTGAGAGGAGGGAAAACGCTAAAAATGTGCATGCAGGGCAGGGGGTTCTCCAGGACCAGGTTGGGAATCAATGTTCTAAGGGATAAAGAGAGCTTGGAAAAAGGTCCTGTAAAAATAAATGATGGCTGCATTCGGTACATAAACCCACTCAAATGTTTTCAGTAGGAAAGGAATAAAGTGGAGGGGGAAAAGGTGTGAGATATGGGCCCTTTCAATCAATGGGGGAATTACATTTTTTTTTGAGAACAGAAATAGCAACGGAACATTTTGTGGAACCTTCCTCATATCCATAAAAACAGGACTATAATAATTGGGGAGACAACTACATACAATTCACGTTCTTTATTGAACTCCAAGTTAGCTACTGACCTAGGCTTTTGGGGTTGAGTGCTCGAGCGTTCAACCACAAGCCAAACTTGGGGGCCTATGAAGTGAGATTACTGCCTTCTATGTGAGAGCGGAAAGACATGGTTAAATCCAGCAAGTCAGAAACAATGACCCCGCAGAATCAAGAAAACCGAGCGAAACAGCAACACTGAAAGCATTCTTGCCTTAGTTTATTAAAGAAATAATTGATTAAAAGTATGGCCTTATTTTTTTATTATATTATAAAGCAGGCCAGCAAAAGCAGACAGTTCAGATGTAGGTCAAGAAGTGGCTCAAAAGGTGTGTAGTCAGTTCATTATCTGCAGGTTTAATGATAAAAGTTTAAGTAAAAAAATAAATAAATAAATAACCCTCTATTGCACTCAACCCTATGTTTCCTCAGGCCAATAAACCCATTTTCCTCACTTTACAAAAACATTATCCATATTTCAAGACAATGACAGGGTTAACGATAAAGGGAACAGTTTAAGTATGTCAATAAAAAGCATGTTCCTGGTCATACTCTCTTAGTGGGCAACTCTGCAGGAAGCTGGATCTACAGGGAAAGGGTTGGTGACCACTGCTGTAGTTCAACAGCTAGCTATAGTAGAAAGCTAGCTAAACACATTTACGCACGTTGAAGATGCAGTGAAAAATCTTATTAGCTGTATTACAAGGCGTAGCAGCAGCCCACACTCAGTTGGTAACAAACAGAACTAGTTCTGCTGGAGTAAGCCAGCCAATGGGGAGTCAGGTCAGATAAAATAAACATGCGGTCGTTTGGTGTGCCGTCATTGATGGAGGCAGATCAGAGCTCGTTTTTCTGCGTCTCAGTGTCCAGGTTTTTTTTTCCCCCCACGCTAAAATTATTTGTGACCAATCAAAAGCTTATGTCTCACACTGGACCCTGCCCCTCTGTGAAGCAGTTACAAGTGCACAAATCAATTTTGCAACAAGCCTACAGATAGAAGTGTTGCACAAGTCGAGGCGGGCAGATTTGAAGTTGTGCAGTCACATATACGAGGTTGGGAGCTCGAATTTGTGGTTGTAGAGCCAATAATTAATTTGTGTACAAATATATTTGTATTTATCTTCGTATAGCTTGTGAACATTTTAAAATGCAAGTTCAGATTTTTATTCAAAAATACAAGTACAGGTTTTATTCTACAAGTTCTCAAGATTTGCAACACATAGAAACCCAACGAGAGCTCAAAGACAGACAGACACCAATGCGAGTGAACCAAAGTGCATTATTTACAAATATTTAAGTGAAACAAAACCAAAGATAACCGGGTTTGTTCAGCCTTACTATAAAGAGTCATTTTTCTCGCTCTTGAGCCCTTGCTCGCTTTTCCAGCGTGTGGCATGCAGGTCAGTGTCCTCCCCTCTCTCACGCCAGTAAGGGGGCCTGTTTTTAAAGAGTCTATGCTCCTCTGCTCATTAGCCACAACTGCGTCAAATCAAGGGAGAGGAGCAGCTCGCACGTGTGTGGGGGAGTGGCTGCGTCTCTCCGCTCTCCACCGCCACAATATATATATATATATATATTCCCTTTTCAAAAAAGTTGGGATGCTGTGCAAAATGTAAATAAAAACATAATGCAATGATATCCAAATCATTTAAACCCTATATTTAATTGAAATAATACAAAGACAACATATCAAATGTTGAAACTGAGAAATTTTATTGTTTTTTGAAAAATGTATGCCAATTTTGAATAGGATTCCAACAACACGTTCCAAAAAAGTTGGGACGGGAGCAACAAAAGGCTGGTAAAGTTGTGTCACGCTAAAAATAACACCTGGTGGTTAATTGGCAACAGGTCAGTAAAATGATTGGGTATAAAAAAGCAGAGAGGCTTTCAGAAGTAAAGATGGGGAGGGTTCACCACTTGGTGAAAGACTGAGTGGGCAAATAGTGCAACAATTCAAGAATAACAATTCTCAACATAAAATAGCAAAGAACTGTGCTTTTCATCGTCTACCAAACATAATACCATTAAAAGATTCAAAAAATCTGGAGAAATCTCTGTATGCAAGGGACAAAGCCAAAAACCAGTATTTGCTGGCCATGATTTTGGGCCCTCAGATGGCACTGCATTAAAAACAGACATAATTCTGTAGTGGAAATCACCGAATGGGCTGAGGAACATTTCTGAAAACCACTGCCTGTGAAAAAAACTGTTCATCGCTGCATCCACAAATACAAGTTAAAACTCAAAGAAGAAACCATATATAAATTGGATCCAGAAACACTGCCACCTTCTCTGGGCCTGTGCTCATTTAAAATGGACTGAGGGAAAGTGGAAAAGTGTCCTGTGGTCTGACGAATCAACATTTGAAATTCTTTTTGGAAATCATGGACGCTGTGTCCTCTGAGCTAAAGACCATTTAATGCACAGTTCAAAAGCCAGTATTCATGATGGTATAGGGGTACATAGTGCACATGACATGATGTGATGTGCACATATGTGAAGGCACCATTAATGCTGAACGATATATATGTGTGTGGTTGGTATAGTGTAGTGGGTAACACTTCTGCCGTTTATGCTGCAGACTGGGGTTCAATCCCTGCCTGGATAAGCACCCTACACTATACCAATAAGAGTCCCTGGGCAAGAGTCCTAATGTTACCTTTGCCTACCTGTGTAAAAAATGATAAAATTGTTAGTTGCTCTGGATAAGAGCATCTGCCAAATGCCGTAAACATTTTGGCAACATATGCTGCCATCCAGATGATGTTAGGGAAGGCCCTGCTTATTTCAGCAAGACAGTGCCAAACCATGTTCTGAATGTATTACAATAGCATTACTCCGTATTACAAAAGTGTGGGTGCTAAACTGGCCTGCCTGCATTCCAGGCCTGTCACCACTGATAACATCTGGCACATTATGAAATGAAAAATATGACAAAGGAGACCCAAACTGTCGAGCAGCTGAAATCATATATCAAACAAGTATGGAAAAACGTTTCACTTTCAAAAGAGTTGGTCTCCTCAGTTCCCAAACGCTTACAGAGTGTTGTTAAAAGAAGAGGTGATGAAACAAAGTGGTAAACATGCCCCCATCCCAACTTTTTTGGAACATGTTGTTGACAATTCAAAATGGGCATATTTTTCAGCAAACAATAAAATTTCTCAGTTTCAACATTTGATATGTTGTCATGGTAGTATTTTCTTTTAAAATATGGTTTACATGATTTGCATATCATTGCATTTTGTTTTTATTTACATTCAGCACAGGGTCCCAACTTTTTTGGAAATGAGGTTGTAGTAAATATTATTAAAAAAAGAATTTCAGTTAAGATGAACAGAGCCTCTTTAAATAATAATGTGGACAAAGTGTGTAAGTGTCTCATAGAGAATAGAAAATAAATCCACTAATAAAACTGCTTCTATTAAGGGTGAAGGATGGATGTGAACTGTCTATCCTGCACCAGTACTGTGATGGCCTTACATATGGTAGCAGTAACAGAGACACAGGCAGCTGCAGTGGAAGCTTAGACAAGATAGCAAGATAAATCCCCTGTCTGGTACACATCAAGAGCAGGAAGAATAACAGCTTCCAATATCCATGCTGTTGTGTCAACCAGTGTTGCCAGACCAGCTATATCAACTGTGAAGAAGGTGTGCTACCCCAAAAAAAAAAACAACAACCACAGCTGCCATTAAATGGGGGATAGACCATGAGGAACAAGCAAGGCAGACCCATGCCAGACTAACTGCATCCCAGCACAGGAACATGAAAGTGGAGCAATGTGGGGTTTTTT